AGCAGCAGCAGCAGCAGCAGCAGCGGCGGCGGCAGGGGCGGCGGCCTTCTGCAGCGGCCGCGGAAGGCAGCAGCAGCAGCCGCGGCAGCAGCAGCGGCGCCGAAGACGCAGGCGCCAGCAGCAGCTACAGGAGCAGCGAAGCTAGCAGCTTGTCCATTTCTCCTCGAAGACAAGATAAGCTCGAAGCTGCTGCTGCTGCTGCTGCTAGGAGGCAGTCGCAGCAGCAGCGCGAGCCGCTGCTCTTCTGCCCGCCTCCAGAGCAGGGGCTGATGCCTCTTGTGGATTTGCTGCCCCAAGAAAGCCCCAGCAGCAGCAGCGCCCCAGCAGCAGCAGCAGCAGCAGCAGCAGAAGCAGCAGTTGCTGCTGCTTCAGAGGCAGCCGCGCCTGCTGCCCCGAACAACAGCCGACTCCCTGAAGACTCGCAGCCGCGGCCCGCCGCCGCTGCTGCAGCGCAGCAGCAACAGCAGCAGCAGCAGCAGCAGCAGCAGCGAAAAAGCCGCACAGATGCCCCGCCGTTTGAAAAAGAAACAAGCCGCCCCAAGTCGGCCTCAGCAGCAGCAGCAGCAGCTCTGGGCTCTGTCCATTTCGAACCCCCCGGCAGCTCTGAAGGGGCTGCCTCCAGGCCCAGTGCGCAGCAGCAGCAGCAGCAGCAGCAGCAGCAAAGGACACACGGCCCTGAGTTCGCTGCGCAGAGGCGCAGAGTCAAGAGACACTCGCAGCCGCTGCTTCAGGTCCATTCGCAAAGTATAGAAAAGCTGCAGCAGCAAATTCCGATTCAGCCCGTGGCTGCAGCCGCTGAGTTGACCCGGCAGCAGCAGCAGCAGAAGCAGCAGCAGCAGCAGCAGCAGCAGCAGCAACTTGCTTCTGCCCACTCTCACGGCATTCGCTGCAGGTCCCAGGGAAGTCTGGGCCGCGCCCTCGACTTGCCGCGGCAGCACTGGCAGCTGCAGCTGCAGGGCCAAAGGACCCCGTTGCAGCAGCAGCAGCAGCAGCAGCAGCAGCGGCAGCAGCAGCGGCAGCAGCAGCGGCAGCAGCAGCACGAGCTGGCCGCTCACGAGGCGCTGCCGCGCAACAACTCTTTTCCATTTTGTAAGTCCCCCTCTTTATGCGGCCCTTCTTCTGGAGCAGCAGCAGCTGGCTACGGGCTGCCGCCGTGTGCAGCAGCAGCAGCAGCGGCAGCAGCAGCAGCAGCAGCACGGGCGAGGCCCTGCAGCCATGGCGCTGCTCTTACCCGCAGCTGCTCCTTAATGGACAAGGAGTGGGAGCTGCTGCGGTGGAGCAGCAACTTGGATTCGCTGCAGCGCGGCAGCTGCTGCATGCACGGCAGCAGCAGCTGCTGCAGCAACCGCCTGGGACACTGCAGCAGCAGCAGCCGCAGCAAAACCTTCAGCTTCCCAGGCAGCGGCAACCCAAGTGCTTACAGCCGCATGCGCTCGGGGTCGCATGCGCAGCGCCGCAGGTACTCAACGAGCTGCTGGCCTTTTAACAGAGCAGCAGCAGCAGCAGCAGCAGCAGCGGCAGCAGCAGCGGGGGCTGCTGCTGCTGGCTTCGGCGGCCAGCACGCGCACGCGCCCGGCTGCTGCCGCGCTGCAGCAGCTTCGTGGCAGCGGCAGCAGCAAGAAGAAGCAGCAGCAGCTGCTGCTGCAGTGGCCAGCCGAGCTGCAGCACGGGCAGCTTCGGACCTGCTGTGTCTGTACCGCTCTGCTGCTGGGGCTGGCAGCCCAGCAGCAGCAGCAGCAGCAGAAGCTGCAGCAGCAAAAGCAGCAGCAGCAACAGCAGATGAGGACCCTGCCCCTGCCAGCGCAGCCACGGGGCTGCCGCTGGCAGCAAGGCCCTGCAGCACCTACTCCCGCTCTTCTTCGCTGTTCGTGCTGCAGCAGCAGCAGCAGCAGCAGCAGCAGCAGCAGCTGCATCTGCAGCAGAGGCAACGCGCCTTTTCTACTCATCATTTTGGGGACAAATCATGGAGAGACTCTTCGAGCTCGCTGCTGCTGCCCTGCGCGGCAACTGCAGCAACTGCAGCAACTGCAGCAACTGCAGCAGCAGCAGCAACCCACAGATCTTTCACAGCAGCAGCAGCAGCAAGGGGCCGCCACATTTCAGGTGTGTCAGGGAGCTCGGGCAGCAGCAGCTGCTGCTGCTGCAGCAGCAGCAGCAACAGCAGCTGGGCCGCAGCCACAGTTGACACGTGCAGGGCAGCAGCAACCCCGCTTTATGAGTATCGCTAGAAAGCCCCAAAACGACCGGGGCTGCATGCATGCATGCATGCATGCATGCATAATTGCATGCACAGTTGCATGCATGCGTGCATGCATGCATTATTGCATGCATGGTTGCATGCATGCGCTCTAGGGCTGCTGCTTACTGGGGGCAGCCTGTTTTGCTTTGTTTCCGTGCATATATATTGGTACTCTTAGTGAGTTTGGGTAGCCTGCTGCTGCTGCTGCTGCTGCTGCTGCAGCTGCTGCTGCTGCTGCTGCTGCGGCTCGTGCCTGCAGAGGCGGCTAGCTGGCTAGCTGCTGCGGCTTGGCTAGGTGATCAGTGGCTAGCTGCTTCTCTGCGAGCAGCGCAGCTAGCGAACTAAAGCGGAGCTAGCTAGCTAGCTAGCTGGCTAGCTAGCTAGCCAGCTGGCTAGCTAGCCAGCTAGCTAGCTAGCTGGCTAGCTAGCTAGCTAGCTGCTAAGAACTTTGCCAAATGGGGCCCTCCGCAGCAGTAAAGCGCGGCAGTGCCTCTTCGGCTTCGCCCCACAGCCGCCACATCGCCTTGTGGGGCCCCACAGGCCCTCTGCGACGCATGCATGCATGCATGCATGCATGCATGCATGCATGCATGCATGCATGCAGTGCATGCATGCATGCATGCGTTGGTTCTTCGAAATTCTTTTTGGGAAATTTTGCTGGGCGGGGGGCGGCGCGGGCCACGGGGTGTACGTACAGCGCAAAGACTGTCTCCTTTTGTCTCTTTAAGCTCCGTTCCTTTTTGATGCTCCTTGCTGCTGCTGCTGCTGCTGCTGCTGCTGCAGGCCCCAGAGGGGAAATGCAGCAGAAAGGATAAAAGGGTTTTGTGGCGCGTACAGATGAAGTGGTAGGAGTAGCAGCTTCTTATTTGTCTCCAGAGCGAGGGGGCCTAATTAGGGTTTAGGGTTTAGGGTTTAGGGTTTAGCGGCATGGGGCCCGAGGGGGGAATTAGTTGCTTGCTGAGGCCCCGTTAAGCCGTAAGCGATAAACCCTAAACCCTAATTCGAGGTTTCAACTGCTGCTGCTCTTTTTGCTGCAGCGGGTTCTGTTGCCTCTCTTAGCTCCCGAATTTTGCTATTGCTGCTGCTGTTGCTGTTGCTGCTGTCGCCGTTGCTGCTGCTGTTGCTGTTGCCGCTGCTGTTGTTGCTGTTGCTGCTGCTGTTGTTGCTGTTGCTGCTGTTAATTGCTTCTAGTTTGAACTTATCCTGGGGTGTACGTACAACTAAGTGCTGCCGCTGCTGCAGGAGGTTCGTCACTTTGCTGCCTCGTAAACCCTAAACCCTAAACCCTTGGCAGTGAAATGGCCAAGGGTTTAGGGTTCCAAAAACCCGAAAAACTGTCGAGTTTGCAGCTGCTTACCCGCCGTCGAATGCAGGGTTTAGCGTTTAGCGTTTAGGGTTTAGGGTTTAGGGTTTAGGGTTTAGGATTTAGAGCACGCAGGCGCGGCTGATTAGCGGCGATAAACCCCCGCTGTTAAGGGGGCCAGGCCCTTGATCTGAGCCCTAGACCCTGTGAAGCTTGCCGCTCAGTGGCTAGGGTTTAGGGTTTAGGGTTTAGGGTTTAGGGTTTAGGGTGGGAGTCATGAACTGCTGCGACTGAGCTCGAATGACAGCAAATCTGGGATGCCAGAGGCTAAAACACTTTCTAAATTTAATTAATTAAATTAAATTTAATTTAATTCAATTTAATTATCTTTTAATTTAAATTTATTTCCTTAATTTGCGCTGCTGCTGCTGGGGGGCCCCGGGGGGCCCCTGCTGCCGACTGGTGTGCAGTGTTGCGGTGGTTTCAGGGTTGCGATGGAGCGGCTGCGGGTTTTTTTATTATTTTAAATTTAATAAATGGTTTACTTTTGGAATTAAAGGACTTTTAAAGTAAAAAGGATCATTGAAAAGCAGTTAAATGGCGAGAAGTGGCAGCTGGGGAGCTTGGGGTGTCTGTACAGTGTCTGGTGGGCTCTGGGCGAACGAACATCCTCGCCGAGTCTTGCGCTCCATTCTTCTTCTTTTTCGTAAATTTTTTTACGTTTTCGGGTCAAATTGAATAAAAGGAATTCAAAAATTTGATTAATTTTTGATTTTAACTGGCAGAAAGGGGAGAACAGAAGGCCCCGCTCAGCGGCAAGCCCCGGAGTGGTCCTTGCAGCTGCAGCGAGGCCCGGCCGCCAGCCCGCGCGTTTGGCCCTTTTGTTTCCCTTATTTTTCCATTTAATTGAATAGCTGAGTTAAATCAAAGAAATACTTTTCGTTTTCTCTTTTATTTCCCGCAAAAACAACCCCTAGAGCCGCAGTCCCCGCTGCTCTGGCGTGTCTTGGGCTGGCTCTTCGCAGCAGCAGCAAAGAAGGCGCTCCAGGTGTACGTACACCTCAAGCACTCTCCGCGGCTGGAGGGACTGGCAGCAGCAGCAGCAGCAGCAACAACAACGGCGGCAACGATAGCAGCAGCAGCCGGAACTGCAACAGCTGCAGCAGCAGCATGGACTGCAGCAGCAGCAGCAGCAGCAGCAGCTGAGAGAGCCTCTACTCTAACCCCCGTGGCGCTGCTGCAGCCGCTGCGCCGCTTCCCGTGGCCCCCCTACACCGCCTTCTTCCGTGCTGCTGCTGCTGCTGCTGCTGCTGCAGCATTTGAATGAACTCTTTTACTATTCTTTTTTCTTTCTTATGTCTTCTTTTCTTTTTCCCACCAACTTAAATTCTCAATGGCGCTACAGGGGCCCCCCCAGCTCCCCAACCCTTTGCCCCGACTGTACCCTTTTTCTCACCACTTAAAACACCCCTGGGGGGCCCCGGGGGGGGCCCCCCAGGGGGCCCCTCAAAGGGTCTTACGGGGGCCCCCCCAGGGGACCCCCCAGGGGCCCCCTTGTGGGGGCCCTCAGAGGCCCCCACAAGGGGGCCCTCAGGGGCCCCAAGAAGAAAGGACAGAAGACATTCCAGAAGTCCCACCTGAGGGGATTCCCGAGGGGCCCCCAGGGGGGCCCCCAGCGGGGCCCCCAGGGGGGCCCCCCGAGGGGCCCCCCGAGGGGCCACCCGAGGGGCCCCCAGAGGGGCCCCCAGGGGGGCCCCTCCGGGGGCTTTCTGTGAGGGTTTGGGGTGAAGAGGGTTTGCGAAAAGTCTCTTTAATTCGTAGTTGCTGCTTAGAGGGTTTACATGCAATTAAATGTGGCGGGGGGCCCCCGGGGG